AACAAAACAGTAAAGACCTAAAGTAACAATAATATTTGACGAAACCAACTATTTCAATCTATGTATATCAATTGATGCCTAAAACCTTTTGATAACTATACGAAATTGTTACTATGTCTAAAATTAAGACTTAATCGTGATTCCATATACGAAGGCTATATATACCACATAAATTAATCTTGCTTGCCTTATTACCTCAAAGTTCAAGACCATAGAAGAGTGTTTACTAAACATCTTTAAAACAAAATATTATTATGCTCTAATAAAAGAGATAACAATATAAGTAGCTATTTGTAACACGTAAGGATACGCATTAAAGTTGCCGGATTTCGCAAATTGTTAAGTATTAGTTCGTCTCATGGCTATGTCACACGGAGGGAAAGTACCTTAGATAGAATAAATACCGTACCTTAAATAACGTAGATAGAAAATTTTATTGAAAGAAGGCTTCGTATTGATTTTAAAAACAATTCGAACTGCATTCTAAAATTTTTAAATATTTACCTGTCTGAACCGGGAATCGAACCCGCCAAATATGAAAAAATATCTGTAATTTTACTATACTGATCGAAGGCCCCAATTATAAGGAGTGTTTCCGTCTCAATAACATAGCATCTTGAATAAAAGGAAGACCATGAAAATTAACATTTAATTAGAAATTTTGTTCAGGAAAATGTATTATAGCCTTTTCTCTAACTTTGTCTTTCCTTTTATTTAAGATGCTATGTTATTTAGAAGAAAACAATTCTTATGCCTGAGGCCTTCAATCAGTATAGTAAAATGGCAAGTTTTTTTTTACATTTGGCGGGTTCGATTCCCGGATCAGACAGGTCAATATTTAAAAATTTGAGAATGCAGTCCGAATTGTTTTTAAAATCAATACGAAGCCTTGTTTCAGTAAAATTTTCTATCCACGGTTTTTAAGGTCTTTCCCTCCGAGTGGCATAACCGTGAGACGTCCTGTATAGTGTTGTGTTCACTTTTATCGATAACATGGGGTGCACAAACCCTGTTCAACAATAACAATAATAATGATATTTATTTCATTCATATACAAGTAATATCAAAAACACGTTACATAAAATACTTATTTCTATGATTGTACGCGCTACTTGCATATATCGGCGAGGATCATGCTCCAATTGGCAAACCTTTCACCACAATGGCAATGGACGTACTGCCTTACCTATTTCTACCGCCAATTAGTAGTGTGAACATTACAGCGTTCCGATTTGAAGGGTGTTGTAAAACTACAGGCACATAGGACTTGTCAAGTTTATATCTCATGCCTCGGCCACGAAAAAATCGGAACAATTAATTAATTCAATTTCATAATCATAATCGAAAAACTCAATTTACCAACGTTGCCATTTTGTGGGAAATTCCCCAAATTGCGGGGAATTTCTACAAATTTCAACTCGATTCTAAAGAATTTTAATTTCTTTCCACAACTGTTTTACGACAGTCCTGATCTTATGTTGTGGATGTGAACTCATCCACAACGCAGGCCGATCTTGTGCAGCCGTTATAAACTCTTCTGTATTCATATATAGATATAGCGATGTGCAATATAAACAAAGTAATTCGTTTCAGACGCTGAGGCGCGGAGCGACCGCTTCTGTCGCGTGGACTGCAACTGTTTCGTGCGCAATAATAATTGTTCTGGCTGCCCGCAAAAAACTCGCGTAACGCTCGTGCAATTTCGCTCGTAGCCAATTTCGCTGCAAGTTGCAGCACTACTTTGTGGCCTTTTACACATAAAATTATATATTTGTTTTTGACGCTCGACGCTGACGCTTGTAGCGTATTCGCTAGGAGCAGCGTCTCGGCTCGTGGCCCTCAGGTAAGGGTGACGGGCGCAGTGACAATGTACTTGAGATCTTCGCTATTTAAAACTCGTATTTATTAAGGGTATGCGTTTCGCTTACTACCAGGTGCGAAACTTGTTTGTCCCGTCACTTGATATCATTTTAAAAAAGTTACTGAGGTGATCCCAGTTTGTTTTCAAAACCAACATACATCCTTAACCGTCGTATTTATTTTTTTTAAATATACACGTAAACATAACGCATTGACAAGACTTGTTTATTGACTCAAAAAGCTTGTTATAGCTAGAAGAAAATGCGTTTCCGAATAAACGTCGCCCAGAATGTTTTGACGGCAAAATAAATACGAAAAAAATTGCGCTTCGGAATATTCTAAATTCTCAAAGCTTTTACAGTCTCTTTTCTCATATTTTACGAGCTACTTTTAACTCTTTTACGATTACAAACGTAAGTACAATTTGTACAAAACGTAGACATAATAATAGGAATGCTGTTTACCAAAAATTTATATGTAATATACATAGGCTACCTTTATGGAAAATAATAATTTATATAATTAAATTCATGTGTACTATGTTCACGACAACAAAGTTGACGCGCGACCGTCTTAAGGGTTCTTTTTGCTACATGCAGCTTGCTCGTTCTTTATTAACTAATGGTATTTAAGGGCTAGACAGTATTTTTATTATTAACAAAAGATTTTCACAACTAAATAAGGGACGGCGCTAGCTATAATCTCCGCTTGCAAAGAAAACTATTTAGAAATTCTGCCGTCCACTATCTAAAAAACAGCTAAATGACAAATGGTCAAATATCCGTTTTAAATATAAAAACATAAAGCACAAAATTCTCTTTTCAAAACAGTTAAAATTAGTAGTAATTCGACTTATCGGAACTTACCCTAACCATGCATAGCTGAAATACCATTAAGCAAATTCAATATTCTAAGACAGGGTTATGGTTTTTTTACGATATACCAAAAAAATATTTTGTCACTGAGTCGCATTTTAGTTTGCGGATGGCAGAATTAGAAAGCTTCAACTTTGCAGATAGTACAGTCAACAACACATCAAGCTGTACACTTTTGTTCGAATATCGCCTCCTGTACAACGGAACAACATCCGTCAATATATAGGTTACTGTACTGCCGTCGTCTGCACATCCAATACATGAGAAAAAGCTACCATAATTTTTGTCACTTTTCATTTAATCGGATGTTCAAGTTTTCAATCAAGGATGATCCTTTCTTCGACGAACGACCGAACTAGGAAAAGTTGATTATCAGCGAAAACTTTGTAGCTTTCAATTTTCTCAAATGTTTTTCGAATATTTGGTAAATCGTAGAAGTAAAATGGATGAGTGTACAGGTGTGCTTGAACCTCGTGAAAATAATTAAGTGTATTAAACTCTTTACAGGTCATGGTCATGGTTGACGAAACGTCGGTTTGTTTAAAAACACAAATATACGCGAATTAAACCCGGAAAATTTCCTATGTGTAACGCGAAAACCTAAGAACTCGATAATTAAGTGTAGTTAAATGAGATTAATTAATATGTCGCATCAAGGCTAAGGAACGCTCATTACGTTATTAACTGAAGAAATTGGTAACAGAAAGTGTCCCTGGCAACTAATCTCTGGGAATCTCCAAGAAATATATGAATACATAAAATATTTAATAATTATACTTAAAAGGCATATGTGATATGTATTTGGTCTCAATAATCGATTAAGAGACAACTACCTGACATGTTTTGTTGTTATATATATTCAAAGCTAGTGGAGAAAATAAAAAATCAAAGACATGCAGCACTCTCTGTAGAAAGCAACTTTTGAATATTCTTGATTTAAATTCACTGTAAGCCACGCAAGTCAAAATCTGAAAATAGACACTTGCCAGTTTGCTATAGCTGTAGTTATCATGTCGCAATGCTATTACAATAGTGTTATAACTCAACAATTTGGAAATTCAAGATTATACCATTATTGAACGTAAAATTTGATTCTCTACACGCCAATAAAAGTGTAGTTAGAATTTGTAAAAAACAACTAAAAGATATCTACTTAACTCAAAATGAGGCACGCTTTATGTGAGCTAGTTGCTGCTGCAGCTGGCCAAAATAGTCCTTATCAAAAAATACGAAATTATTTTTTCTCTTTTATCTTTAAATATATTTGGCAAGTAGGAAATTGTCTGTTATAAACTATAACCTATACATACATTTTAATTATCTTTCATGGGAAGCGAGTAATTAGTTTTTCGTCGATTCTAAGAAAATACACTTTTGAGTTAATACACTATTGTATTAACAGTGCGATGTCACAAATGACACGACGAATGTCAACAAACAAACATAACGAAGCGTATTTATCAACATTAAAACAAAAAGGAATACATACAGCTTGATTTGAGCCCGTAAACTTCACCTTTTCACCATGTGTACCTAGGTACCAGTTTCGTGAAACCGTAATCCAATCGTAAAATGGAAAAATCCTGTTCACGTGAAACTGCTGTTCCGACTAAATTGGTTCAAACTCACGTAAGCTAATTGATTATATTGAGCATTTACAGTGTCAGAAATTTATTATCTTCTAACTCTAGGCACGTCGAGTAGATAAGAAAAAATAAAAAATTGTCGTTGTTTGTACACATAAAATCTGTCACCCATCCACCTACTTACCTACATATATAGGCGTCACCCACCGTACTTATTTATATAATAAATCGCAAATTTAATTCATAGTTTGTATTGTAATCAGTTTGATATCATCTCCGTGATTTATTTCCGAGTCGCTTTCAACAAAACCCACGATACCTATAATTATGACGATAATACATAGGTTCAATAATAATTGCAACTGGAACACATACTGTAAAAACAATTAGAAAAATTATAATCATAATAGAAACTAGAAGCTCAAATCTCAAGGCTCTTTCGTACTGAAACGTTGTATTAGTTCGAGTTGTCTATTTTTGGACCTACATTTTCTTTTTTTGGACACACAGTCGCCATCTATATTTTATCACAAATACTACGTCAACGTGAAGTGTCATAGTTAAACTTGTATTAAGAAGGTTCGCTATAACATACTAGATGGCGCTACTACAAATTATGTTCCACGCGTGGCGTTGACGTTATTACACCGATTATTATAACAGCATAGCACAGTCCAAAATAACATAATTTCGTTGTACTCCTGTAATGATTATTTTACAGAAACAAACCAGTTTATGAGTATACAACGAAAGTACGGTTTTTGCAGTTTGTATAAAAGTTTTCCGTGAGTGTTTTGTATTTACAGTAGGGGTTATGAGTAGCAAAGTCGATTTGTAAACTTTTATTGAGTGGACGACGGCGACGCTTCGACGTCTGCCGTTTATATCTTAGAACGATAAGCATTTACAAACAGTTAGAGTTATACTGTGAAGGAAGCCGGCTGTTTTATCAAATTTTTCAAGGTAAGACTTCCATGAAATAATAAGCACTTACCTACCTGCTTAAAATCCAATTGCTTAAACATTTTACTGCGTATTGTTAATTACATAGAAAATTATAGTTTTTAATAATATATGTAGTAGTTAGTATACACCTCTAATAATTTTTGTAATTTCATTTAAGTATTTACATACTTTATTATTCCTAGCGGGTAGTTGATGTCTGTGAGGCTAGAAAGTTGTGTGAAAGAGTTAGGTTGCCTTCCGTGTCTCTGCCTACTCTCCTGTTACACAAGTACGTGAGTTTGTATGTATTACAAGTATGTATGTATTATTCCTACTCATTTCTTTTTTCTAAAATTGTATTTTACCTGTCTTTTTTCTTATCAAATAGATTTTCTTCTTGTCGATGGTTCTTTTGAGATAACTAAAAATGTTGAATAAAATGCTTAGATAAAATAAAAAAATCTGCTATAGAAGATATGTATCGGTCGACAATAATAAGACCTACTACCGGTAAATTTACAAATTAATACAAAATATTTAACAAAATCAACAAACTTTTCGACTATAAAGTAAGTATATATTTTGTACATTTCTAAATATACAAATAGTTTCGTGAATAAATAATGTCTCCACTATCGATAATATTACAGTCGTATCAAAATCACACTTACAATATTATTATTATTTAAAATTAAGATGCCATTATCAATGTCGTAATATAGTAAAATCTGCAAGTACGTTATTTTTCCTTTATTACTCTAAGGAACTTGCTTATAAAAAGAAAAATAAACGATATGACTGCTGAACAGTACATTGCGTATTAATAAAAAATAAGATATTTTTTACCGCCCTTACCACAGAAAATATTTTTTATCACGTGTGCGAAGAAATAAATACAATAATAATTTACGTACAAGAAATGTATGAATAAAGACTGCCAGTGGCGGGTTATTTTTTATAAGCATGACCACTTAGAATAATAACGCCATGACCAGTTATCCTTCCATAAATGGGAAGAATATTATCTAATACATGCAGCCAATGCCCTACCATAAAATACAACACTAAAATGTTGTAAAAGGATAAAATGCACACAGCCATGATGTATTACGTAGATATAAAATAATAATTTCAAACTACTAATAATACTGGAGAATTTGAATTTATACAATAAATCTAGTAAAATGTAGTTAAATTGCAAATGTTTCGTTATTTCGAGCATAAAAACTTTTTGCTTAATCTTTACGTATAATAGAAGCAATAAAATTTTATAAAATCCAATACTGCCCTAAAAACGAAAAAGCCCGTGGACGTAATTTAGGACATTACCGCCGACATCGCCTGCATATCATGACACTGTTTACGAGCAAGTGTGATGAAAAAGAATATAGCATCTGGAGACCCGTTGTCTTTTGTATGTATAAATAAGCGCAAATATTTACAATAATGGCTCATACCATAATCTCATTTACTCTCACAAATTAAAAAGCACTTTGTTTATTATGCACAGAACGTATTCAATTATATTTACCTATGTAGTTCAAAATGTAATTTATTTTTCTTCAATAATAAAAATCATTTAAGAATATCTAATAATGGATTGAACATTCATCTACATATTTAAATTATAAACATTTCCGCCGAAACATTTCCACTATTGAGCACAGGCCTAAAATTTAAATTGCCAAATATTTCCAGCATGGGTCCAATTAAGCCAAATCCAGCGAAGACACTCTTGCGCACCGACATTGCGAGCCGCATCGCAGCGCTGTCTTCCGACGAGAAGAAACGACAGTCGAAGGCGGTCTTTGAAAAGGTTTATACTTACCCCACACCTAATTATAACGAAAATAATACCTAATATGTGAATACCACACACTCATAGCTGTTCCCATACCCCATTGCGACAGAACTTATATACATACGAGTATAACTCAATTTCTTTACCTAGGTAGTAGTAGAACTCCTTGTAAAAGAGTTCGTCCAAGGTAGTACTGCCACTGTATCAGCATTACTGTGTTCCGGTTTTGAAGGGTAAGGGTGCTGGTGAAATTACAGGCACATACATGGGACTTGTCAACTTATGTCTCAGGGTGACGTGCGCAGTGGCAGTACTCGTCAGATCTTTGCTATTTAAAGGTCTGAGTGGCACTGCAGCTGTTATGGACAGGCGTGTAGCTTACCATCACGCACATGACTTGTTCGTCCCGTAACTTTATGTTATAAAAAAACTTGGTACATTATTTTCTATCACAACAGCCTTTGATATGAATTGAGCCACTGCTCTCTGGCACATTATTAGGTATAACATTTTACAGAAACGCATGACTTTTGTGACGTTCTAAAAATTAATATTTGCATTATCATCTTACTTTTTATTTTGACAAGAAATCTTGTTCTTCCAAAATTATTTTTATGATACGATTAATTACATTTTATAAATCTTATTTTATATTTAAATTAAAAAAAAATCCGCTATTTATTGCGTATGTAGTAATAGCTGTAGTTATCATGTCGTAAGTAAATAGTAGTAGTAAAATAGTTGATAGAATATTTATCGACCGAGGGACAGTTATTTATGACTTGTTGTAAATATTATTTCTATTAAAACACGTAAAATGCGTCTGAAAAATAATAGAATAATGGTACCTTTAATTAAAATAAGTGTTAAGTTTGATTTGGAATTAACGGTAACATTTACTTAGCTAGGCAACCTGCATGTCGGAGAAGATAAAAATTCAGAGATGTTAAGACAGCAATGAACTATGATAGCACTTATACGGGTTATTATAGGTTGGGTATAAATCGTCCTTTCTGCAAATAGTCAAAATGAGTAGCTCTCTTTGTGAGCACGGAAGACGAGTTCGACACAGTGTCAAACATATGTATACAGTGCCGGCCTGACCTCTGAACCCTACACTTGTGACGCGCATGATGTCGCACCGCACCGCCACTCGCGACGTCTCCAAAGAGCTTGCTCGCGGCGCAAGCGAAATAAACGGTTCCCAACATTATTTATAATTTGCAGCAATGGCAGTGGCGTAGCCTCGAGCTTTGCCGCCCGGGGCCAACCCTAAATTTGCTGCCCCCTCTATTTTTATGATTACAAAACTAGTTCTCTCGGGCAGGCTTGGCCCGATTGTGTTTTTTACTTTTTTGTTCCCTTGCCGTCCCATATCTTTCTGCATAAGTTTTGTTTATAGTGCTCCTCCCTACCAACCTCTTGGTTATGCTAGAAGCACTGACCTGTGCGAGCGAACCCGCACAGGGACCATTTAAGTCAGGTCTTATCCTAACCCCTGATCAACATGTTTGCACGGACTTCGTCCGGATCTCTGTGAGGCTAGTGCCTGAGGTGAGCCGCCCCCGCTAAGTCGACTACCAAATCTCCCCATTTGTGGCTGCTGTGCCATCCGGGGCCATGGCCCCTCTGTACCCCCCACGCTACGCCACTAACCACTTTCACCCAAATTTCCGAACACTGAGCAAAATACATGACAGCGCCAGGTTTGATTGCACCTGGACGCTACACGGATTAGCGCCGGCGCGCTGCCCTTAGATACCTAACGTCAAAACTCGTGGTGCATCGGCTTTCGTCTCTCAAGTCGCAGGTGATACCATGAGGGCGCAAATGATAAAAGAACAGGACTTCCAAGAGTCCCTTTCCCTAGAAATACCTCGAAATGTGTGCACAAAATATCACATCATTATTAAATATTAATCGATAAACATCGTAACGATTTTATTATCTTAACTGACCCCGAGAGTTGAAGATGTAATAATAATGCAAACAATCGTAAAGATTGGAACAAAAACGTGTCGTACATAACTGAAACAAATTATTAAATTTATCTATATGCCATTATGTGCGGGGCTATGAGTGTGTGCGTTCTTTATTTGTAAAGTGCATTGTACTATTTTTAACAATTTCGTTCAAGAAATGTGCTTCCATCCCGTTTTTTCATGATATCAAGCGACGGGACGAACCAGTCGTGTGCCTGGTAGTAAGCGACACGCAGTTGCAGTGCCATTCAGAGCTTTAAATCGCAAATATCTGATGGGCGTCAACCGGAGACATAACTTGACAAGTCCCATGTGCCCATAATTTCACCAACACCCTTCAAAACCGGAAAACTCTCATTATTGCTTGACGGCTGAAGTAGGTAAGGTGGCAGTACTTCCCTGGACGAACTCTTTCACATGGAGCTCTAATGCTACTAAATGTTCCAAAATCCGTTCATCCATGGTGCTGCCTTGTACCGCTCAATAAGAATTCTCTCAACTAGACAAAATAAAAAAATACGAAACAAACTATTTGCGGTGATGAGAAATCAAATTTCCCCACTGTTGCAGGTCATAAACCATCCTTTCTATAAATCATCAAAACGAGTAGCTCTCTTTTTGAGTACGGAAGATGAGATCGACACGGCGCCAATCATAGATCACGTCAAAGCCCGTGGTGCATCGGCTTTTATTCCGCAATATGCTGGTGGTATCATGAGGATGCTGATGTTAGAAGATGGCGATAAAGAGAACATGGGTGTGACTAAGCATGGAATTGCTCAGCATTCGAAGGATCAGAAAAGGGAAGAGGCTTTAGAAGGAGGTAAAATTACAATTGGTCTGAGTTTTGGATGCTTTTTGCAAAAGTTATAAACAAATTTTATAAAATGTAATCTCAGTACAGAATACTAAAAAACCGACCTCAAAAGTCATTCATCCCCTAGTTTGCCACCCTTAGAGGTGGAACATTTTCCTCAAATTTAAATGGGACCACTTCTGAAGTACCCTCTTTCCAACAAAAAATCGAATCAACAAAATCGGTTCACAAATTATCGGAGTTATCGCGTAACATACACACCTACTTAGAATAATAACGCATACCTATAACAAAAAAAAACGTAGAGTCTAATTGCGAACCTCCTCCTTTTTTGAAGTCGGTTAAAAATGGAATTCGCTTTTCGAACCTGAAAGCAATTTTCAAAGTAGACTGTTTATAACAATTAATAAATGAAAAAAAGTTTTGATTCTTGGTGCGTATGTCACATCTGCAATGTGACACTATTTCTGGAGAGAGGTATAAAGATTCTACGAACGAAATTAGTTGATAACTTTTTTAAGCTTAAGGGTCGAAACACAAAACTGCGAATCGGCGCGAAGCGAATTCCCAGCGCAGAAAACTGCGACGCGAGGTAACCCATCACAAACTAACTCGAATTTATTTTTTCCGAAATAACGTTTGTTGGAATTTTCTCTACCCCGAAAACCGAATTATAACGAAACCGTTGTTCTTTCAGGATATGTTGGTTGTTTATCGCAAAGACACTTTTAGGTCCGGTCAGGTTAGGTTAAGTTAGGTTTAAAAGAAATATATATATTTCTTAGACTTCTGATAGGTAACCGCGACGCGAAGCGATTTCGAGGGACAAAGCGTCTCACTGCCACGGTTCGGGTGACCATTCCTTCAGCGATCGTCAACCGTACTAAACTTATTTTTTAAACTACGTGGCGACATGGATCCTAAAAAGAGTGTTGCACTGCTGTTATTGATAAGAAAATATAGGAAAAAAAACTCGAAGAGGATTAAACTCTTGCGATACGTCTTGCGAGCTCGTAGATTTCTGTGATGCGACGTCGCATCGCAGTTTTGTGATTGGACCAGCAATACCTTCAATTAACACTAAATTTTTGGTCATTTTCTGTTATTTTTGTAAACAGCCATATTTATTTACGAATAATAAAGAAACAAAAAACAAAATTCGAAAAAAAACAAATAAACCAAATTTGTGAAAAACAAAGAAACAAAAAATAAAATAAAAACAGAACAGGTTCAAAAATTAAGTAGGCATAGTGTTCATTGGAGATAATTTGTTCCATGTAGTTCGTATTGTTTGTATAACTTTCTGAATGTGATTAAAGCATTTTTTAATTATGATCATATGTAAATTTATTGTACTAAGGGTACGAACTATTAAAATATAAAAAAAACTTTATTGCAGGTGGTTTAGATCTCATAATTGCCCCAGGAGTTGCATTTACCCGCTCAGGAGCCCGTCTTGGTCATGGAGGTGGATATTATGACAGATATATCCTTAAAGCTAGAAATCACCCTGAAATTGTGCCAAAGGTAAAACAACTTCTATATTTTGATTGGATAGAATTTTATATTACTAATAATGCAAAGCTACTTGTTACTCTATATCAGATAGGTAGACTAAATTGAGGAAAACCAAAACAAACATTTTATATAGTTTTATTTATTTTGATTCAAAGTACAGAATAATGCGACCTTTGATTTAAATAATTCTAAAGAAATGGGGTAAAGTCACCAGAAAAGTCATAAGTTTTTGTTTCTTTTCCAGAAAATTAAACTTTATGTAAGTAACAAGATTGCATGTCTCTTCGGTGGGGTTGTTATAATCAGGGACCAATAAGACATTACCGTCGTTTCAGTGCGTATACAATAAAATTGAACACAAAATGCATGCACACAATAGAATTTAAAGAATTTAAACCTACTTCGGTTTCTCGATTATAGTTACTTTTTATGTATTCGAGCACATTATTAAACTTGTAAAGTTTATTAACACGGTTTTATACAATTCCTTAGTCTGGTTTTATAGTTGTATGTATATAAACACGTGCACAGACACTAGTGTAGTGGCTTTGCTGACTCTTCATGATCAATAGAATGACATTTCTATTTCGTGACTGAGATTTATGATACATTATTATTCATAATTTACATATTTTGGGAGACCTACATATTATTAGAATTTACTTATTGTATTCATATACCGCCATAAAATAATAATTGAAATAAAAACTGTTTCTGTTTTCTTTTTGCACTACCACTATCACTTGTGCGCAACTAATTGAAAATCACAAATCACTTACAATTTACCATAACGTAATTATTAAACAGTATCTTAAAAAAATCAGTATAAATAAATACCGGTAAAACCTGGTAAAACATTTAAATTTACTAATATTCATACCATAAAGTCACATTTGTTGAAAAAACTTCTTTATTTGTAAAATTATCATCAAAGTCTCTGGATGATTAGCGACTTGTATTGGTAATTTTGTCTAAACCTATAAACGCGTGGCAGTGTGTGTCGTCCAACAAAGGATGTCGCATTAGCCATGTCTTAATCAGAGATCGAAATAAGCATGCTTAGAGGAAACAATTAGTACACTGAATAAATTACATCATAAATAAATAAAAGAAATACCTGTCTCTGGAATCCCGGAAAGTTACTTTAGTGCGGTAGAAGAAAAATGTTGTAATTCTAAGTAAAAATAACTCTTTTGTTTTTACTTATATTTTTAATAATTCCGGGATTTCTCAGAGATGTATTATCCGCTTTATGTGCATTACTCGAAAATTAATTTACACGAACAATTAGGAAATGAAACTTTTTTTTTCGTATTTTAAATGTTGAAGTCCTTACTTCGACTGTATTTTTTTTTTCCAAAACAAATATCCGCGATTTTGATCCGAAAAACGAGTAGTTGTTTCATTTCGTATATGTAACAACCGCTGAAACCCGAGAATTCTATATGTACACCAATAGTTTTTAAATATTTTCGACACTCTAAATAAGCGTATAACAGCAGCTGGTGGCTTAGTGAGCATTTCCTTACTTGCTTACTTTTACACAATTTACTAATATTATTAATATATTATTATTTTCAGGTAATAGCTGTAGCATTCACTTGTCAGATATCTGATAATGTACCAATGGACGAACAGGACCAAAAAATCGATGACGTCATTACAGCAGACTCTTGAAATAGCAAGCAATACATGGTGAATTTTATTTTATTAAATAGAGGTGTGCTGTACACGGTAAAATAAATTATAATTCGGTGATTTCTTTTTAATGAAAAATCATCGCTTTTTACATACTCATTTTAAAATTACTCTAATAATGATGATAAATTATTGCCAAAGACGTTATTTATTACAACGGTCAGACTTTTCTGCAACTTTGCAGCTGCAGACTTTTCTGAAATCAAGTTAACAAATCTAATTTTATCCATAGTGTCTTTCTCGGAAAACAATTATGTCTGTAAGGGAGTCTGTGGTAAATTTAGAATATTGTTGTGCATAGGTTTGTACATTATGTTGTGAAATTTTTGAAACTTGAATAAAACAAAAAAATCAATATTACTTTATTTTATTTAGTAAAAGATACAAAAATAACCCACTGGGTATGATTTTATAACAAAGAAATAGTATACAGAATTAAACTAATTATATTAGTATATAAGTATTTACAACATTAAGTACATATGTTTATATATATAAATATCAAAAAAGAAAAAATATTGTGGCTAAATTTATATTATATATGCAGTTATAAGAAATGGTGCGACCACATATTTTAGCTGGTGATCCTACTCATGATGACAGAGATCTATAGCAAAATATTTATACCATTAAATAAATAGGCATTGCTCTGGGGCATTGTACTCAGGAGGCTAGTAAGTCCCCTTTTGAATAGCTTGGTTTATTCTTAGCTGAAAAAGCTACCAGTTTTCTGATCACTGGAGGCTTGAGTTAAAATCTCCTTAGCTAAGAGTTTGGCGTAACTCCCACGAGACAAAAATATAACTAATCCGCAAAAAACTCGGTTTCCCCATAAGAAACGGAACATTTTTTTTCTGTTAAATTTGTTTGTTATCATACGAATACAATCACCAGCTGAAACGGTCGAACCATTTTATGACACCCTGTATTTACAACGACGTATATTTTTTAGTTTATTTTTAAAGGATTAGAACGAAAATAAGATGCTCTTTAATGCCAATTTTGTAGAGTTCATACTACATCTATGAATTTTATACACGGTAGTGTAACTGCCATGCCAAAAAACTTTACCGCCACCATGACGACGAGTGTACGTCATATTTTGTGCTTAAATATGGCACCAGAGACGAATCGAAAAACGACTTTCTCGAGAATGTATAAATTAAAAAAGTTTAATGTCAAATAAAAAAAAGCTTTTTTCTTCTTAATTTTTCATTGTTCTTCTCGTAGAAACAATATCAGTAGATACAAAACAAACATTGTAAAACGTTACATCTTTATTATAATAATTGTACACACAGTAAGTGGAAGGTTTGCAGGATGAACGGGCTAGTAAAGAACATACGTCGATTCCAGCATATGACATAAACTACATCTAACGTATAATTAATTTAAATTTTCAATTAAAACACGTACATTTAAAAGATTGTATCCCACTATCAAAATTTTACATTACCTAAGAAGAAATTTTTAAATATTTTTTATACTTATACGTCTAATATACAATTTTTATATAGATTTCAATATACAAAACCTATTATTTACAACTAGCAAAATTCTAAAGCAATATACTAAAAATCTTTGATCACATATATTGATCGATAGGTACATGGTAGCAATACGCCTTGTTTTGTTTTCATCCGATTGATGATCGCGCGTATCATATCAGTATAAAAAAAGATAAAATACCGTACTTTCGCTAAGTTTTTTTCTTTTAATTACATAATTTATTAATTTTCTTTTTAATTTCGGACATTTCAATTGTAATTTATAGTATATATGACCAAAGACAAAAATTAACTAGGTTAAATTAAGCTAGCAACGCCTATTCATAAAAGCTGTCGCCAACAGTGGGATCACTACACGTATAAGAAACATACTCTATATATCCGGTCTTTTGCTAACTAGGTATCAGTGGCGAAAAGCGATAATCGAGGCATATCTAGTACAATACATAGATTTTTTAAACAAACGATACACTACAACTACAGTACAATGACTACACTACAAAACAAATACACTACAGTGATTTTTGAAACAAACGATACATCAGTCAGATATAGAAAAATTTACGATCAAGTTTCGAATACGGAATGCCTGACAATTCTTCCCGACGAAGAAAGATATCCATCTTCGAATTCCCTAGTTGTATTCAAATACAGCTTAGGTACTAAGCAAACTTTTTTACTTTTATGTAAAAAGGTAAAAACGCCCATGTCTCGTGTCGTTTCAATCACTCGAATTTAATGACAGTCAACTTGATTAATCATATTAGTTAGCAATACATAATTGGCAATAGCAAATTTTATCACATATACTTTTTATGATTGAAACAGAATCTACATCAAACGCACAACCCATTTTTTGTAACGACATTTTCCTAATTTATGTTCAATTAATTTAAGAAAAGAAAAAAGAATTTACGCAGGTTAAAAAAGTTTAAGCGCCTGTAGTCAGTTGACGTCACGACTAGTGACGGAAAAAACCGATAATAAAGTTATTTGAACTTGTGTGCTTTCATTTATTACACATATTTGGTTCGGATAATTAGAAAACACTGTTTATGGTAAACCAGGCAGATTTTTATTACAATAATAACATTTAATAACAAGTTGGAATAATGAGGTAGCAAATGTCATGTGTCAAAACGGCTAAAAAACAAAACGATTGTATTCCGGAAGTACCTCATACCGACGTCAACTTTCTGGACGCGCCTTCCCAAACTCAATTTCACTTTTGTCTCAATAATTACAATTCATTAAAAAATAATATAACTATGATGACAAAACTTGGGTACAATAACAAATTTTATGAAAGGCACGTAGGAAAAATGAGCTATTGTCAATAAGTTACGTTTATTTGCCGTAGTGTGCAGGCGAAGTTCTTGTTTCATCTCAACACACTACGCACAAGTAGATAAATGGTTACTGTAAGGCTTATAATTAAAGTAAGAAAAGAAAAAACACACAAGGCACTTATTATATGAAGATATTATTGAACTAATAAGTCGATAGTGGAATCCATATCGTATTTACTTGCTGTCGATGTTGCAGGTACAAATGGTAACACGCACTGCGTCTGAAAACCGAACAAATTTAGTTTATGTACTTACTGGAAAGGTGAAGTAAAGTTGTCAATACCAATTTTTTAGGGGACTCTTAGATTCTAAAACCAAATAACGTTTACTACTCATAGTAACCAATTTTTGGGTAATTCTTACAAAATCTCGTAATTCTTGTCCTTTAGGTTTATAAAAAAAGGATTTGATTCTTGCTGTAGAATTAATAGTCAATATCAAATTATAATTCAATTGCTAGTAATGCCTACATAAAATATTGATTAGTCTATTTAAATAATAAATAATAATATAAAAATGTCTCCAAAATCATTCCCTGACTATGTCCCAATTTCCATAATCAAACACGTTCTGTGCTTTAAATCAACACATTTAACAAAAATAACATTTAAATTTTAAATATTCGATCAAATAAAATATGTTTTTGCAAAATTAAAGCTGTCCTGTGATGAAAACACGATAAATAAATTTAAAAAATGTATTATAATAATAATAATAATACATATCCCAACCAAGAAAATCATATCTCACACTTTTACCTTCACTCGATTTGTGAACGCATTTTTAATCCTTGGTAAATGCATTTTGTAAGTTTTTGAAAGTTAGCAGCACTGTAAACGTTTCAAAATGACGAAATTCAAATTGTGCGTGGAATAAGTTTCTACTACGAAAAGATTTCATTTATAATTCTGGAAGTTAGATTTTTGACAGTCATTTCCTCATATTATATAAAAAGAAGTTAAGCCTTTGATTTTATTTATTAATCATTCACTCAGACGAGTTGTTGGTAACAGTAAGCTTTCAAAAAAGATTAAGTCTAAAAGTAAGTTTATATCGCTATTTTTTCTTGGTTTATTTTGATTTATTCATTCCCTCACCTTCATTCCCTCACCCTCAAATGTTCTGACAGCCCTATACATTCTCTTAAAAATCATTTATTTTGGGGACTATATATGCTATGAAATGAACAAAAAATAAATACAAATTCTTCTTAAAAATTTCATAACTTCGAAAGCACGAATTTCAAAATTTCATAATAATTGCCCCTTTTACATTTATACTAAACATATGGATGTGGACACAGTGCTGAAGCGGTCTGACGCACAGATCACGTGTGACGAATGGATATTATAGCGAGTCAACGGAGGAAAAACTGTTTCACTAGACCAAATATTTTAGGTGTTTACTATGATTAACAGTCGTACAAAAAACATATTATACACCAAAGATATTGTCTAATTTATTACACGATATGATGTACTTTACCCGATAATATAAAATCCTAAAACTGGCTAAAATAAATGTCTAAGAGTAATTATTTAAGAATAAAATAGCTAACTTTGCACAGCGGTTGGGGCGCTGGTCAATGTCGAATTTGTATAAAATTTTCCCCGCTTATTGTTATTTAATCATATTAATTTTTTGCGCGCACACTGCGGAACGCACGGGCTGCCTGCCCCCCATACTTCACTTAAAATCTACCGTGCACCTGACGCGTTCAAGTCTGTAAAAGTAATGATGCTCTAGTCTATAGTCGTATATCATAGTTGTGTATAACACTTACATCAACGCAGTATAGCGCCAAACATTCTCTGTCCTCGGGACATGAGCAGTTCGACGGCACCGACAGCTGCCAGCAGTAGCAGCAGTGCTGTGACCACCAGCACCACTCTACAGCTGCGTCTTCGTCTCTCGTTTCTTGCCAATCTCCTAGAAAGTGCTTCACCTCGCGCGCTATCTAGTGTGAACAGAGCACTGGCTGCCTGGAATAAGTACAATAAAATTATGTTGAAAAATGTTTAAAATGCCTAGATATTCTAGAAGGATATGACCATAAAGTATATATATTTAAATACGTTCTCTAAAATAACCAATATCATATGTATAAGATTTTATTTTCGGATCTATGACCGATTCTTGCGAATGTAAGGGAATTGGACGCCATAAACCAAACCGATCGCGTTATGGTCTAAAGTCCCGGCTGACTGACGTCATCCTTGACCGCGAGTTTTGTGAAGAGACCGAAACGTTGGTTTCTTTAAAAAAATATACGCGATATGGAGTTGCTTTAGCAATGATCTAACATACGAAAAAAAGATCATTAGGTTTTCGCGATTGTTGCGCTGCCTGTAAATGAAACTATTTTTTTTTAATGTAAATCGCGTACATTTATTCTTTCAAACAAACCGTCGTTTCGAGTAGTTATGTGAACATTACTGCGTTCTGTGTTCATGTGAGACTTGGCAACTTATCGCCTCTTATAAAGAGTGATTATTCTGGAAATAGCAACTTTCTATTTATTTTGAATTTCTTATCAAGGGTGTTAATTTGGATGCATTACTTTAAGAATAGGCAAAAGCCAGTGTGTGAATATGACGAAAATGTGATGTGAAATTAGCCTGCACAACTTGTATATACAATCCATTTTTTACATTTCAGTAACTTTGTGCTTGAAGATACGAGTTTGAGAAAGTAAGGCGACGTCGTGTCTCTGGGAACAGGCGCAGTGGCAGTGCCCTCAGATCTTTACGATTTCAACTCAGAGTGGCACTGTAACTGTTATGTACAGGCTACACGCTTGCTATTTGAAGCAAGACTTGTTCATCTCGTCATTTTATATTAAAAACAAATATGTTTTATGCTATTTCAATTGAAATAAGGTGTAAATTGCAATACTCTGAGACCGACGACGTCGGAGCATCGCTAGGCATTTCTCTCTGCATCCGTATAGGATAAAATTGCATCTGTATAGGATAAAATTACAATGATAAATTTAATGTCCTCTGCCTTGTCGCCCTCCAGCTTGAGTTGGCCTTTAAAGGTCCGCGGTCACGGGGGACCGAATATACTCGATCTTTGATCCGGAATAAAACATTCCAACGTGTTGTATTCGCAAAACCTGAAACTCGATATACCTATGCTGAAAACTTCATAAAAACGATTCCTCCACCTTCGACAAAGCAGACATACAGGCAACCATTAGGATATTTAGAAAGACAAAAGAAAAAAAATAAATTTATTCAGCACAAACACATGTTACAAGTACAATATTATGATTTTCTGCTTAAAGTGTATTGCACGAAAAGCTCCCAACTCAGCAAATACTGCGGCTGAGCAACAGCGCTGGTTTTCAGTGGACCCTTATCGAAGTACCCGATTTAAAAATAAAATAAAATAAAAAAAATTAAAAAATGTGGACGCAAACTAAAATAAGTACTTACAACATAAATGACATAATTAGTTTAGAAAAATAAAATTGCCATATGCCTACAGCGTTTTCAAATAGTTCACTCTGTCGTCATGTATTTTATGTTTCTCTGTGCGTTATACAAATAAAATTTCTCCTGGCGTATTTTGCAATATTAAAATGTACTTTCTGAGTTCATTTTTTAATGCATATACAGATTTATATTATATATTGAGATATTTATTTAATAAGGATACTAAATTTACTAAATGCAGAACCATTATAGGTAAAATAATGAATGATGACAAGAACTGTCACCATCCTATTTATCCTCCACTCCTCACAAGCCAGCTCCTTTACCTCTTTTTAGCTGTTCATTCTCATTTTGACGTTGTATTTTATTTGTTCACTGTATGCTGCTGGTCTTGGGTCTTCCAGTCCTTCATTTTCCCTTCAATCATTTTATTAATTTCCCCTTTTGTTTTCCATTGCATTTATTTATTAAAAAATAAATAATTCGACCTCCATCTCATCTGATGGAAAGTGTAGATAAGGTCAACAATGGAGCATGCACACCTAAATAATGCTCATTCACTCTCGCTTTTAAAAAGCCCAAGTTCAGGGAACACGTCTCTTCATTAACCCTTTTAAACAAGAATTGTAGCTGTTCAATATTATGACAAAAACTATAAATGAATGTTTCGCAATACGGCGCCAGTATTAAGCAATACCAGATAATCAATTAACCAATTTGGGACAATTATTGCACAAAAATAGTTAACGCTATATTTTTCATTGAAACATGTTTATGAAATCATACATTTATGGTATTTATAGCTGGTAATAAAATGTACAAACCACGGTTAACGTAACCAAATTACAATTTTAAAGTGAAAATAATTAACAAAATTATTTATTAACAGCAATTGACATAGATTTCAAAAACAAACTTTGGCACACTTTCAGAAAACTTGCTGATATAGTTTTTAAATTTAATTAAAGTGATGTAACAACTGGTTTGATCAAGGATTTCAAAAGTAAGCTTCTAAACACAGAACTTTATTATCCGGTACTGCACCATTTGCTCAAAAATGTATTCTAAACTTTAGCAATAACAAACAATAGAAATAAGTTAAAATTGCTTATATCCGCCGGTAATCTTGTATGTAGTTAAGAAAAATACATGCCTACATCTTACGTTAAATCGGTCAAGAGCATGAGAAACTGAGTTCCAATATACACCTAAATATTGAAACGTTCTATCATATACAATCATAATGGAATCCCTAGAAAATGACCTTAGGATTCAGTGACTACATCCCAAGAAGGCTTGATCACCATCGCGAAGTTGCCTTCTTTTCGGTATTCTACAGAAGACAAGGAGAGTGTGCGATGAAATTACATGATTTCATTCCGCCTTCCCCTTCCTATTGTCAAGAGACTAGACGTAAGCTGGTGCTTCACACCTATGTTGCGGATATAAAGGATTCACTCGTGCTTCCACACTTAAATGGCGACCGATTGTGGATAAATTCCCTGCCAGCATACTTATTTCCTGAACGCTAAAATTTAGGCCTTTTCAAGGCGAGAGTGAATAGGCATTATTTAAGGTGTGTATGCTCCATTGTCGACCTTATCTACACTTTCCATCAGGTGAGAAAGCGGTCAAATTACTTATCTTTTAATTTAAAAAAAAAAAACGAAAAACAAAAGGGGAAAAATGTTAGGAGTTATACGTAATGACTAATTAATAAAATGATTGAGGGGAAAATGAAGGAGTAGAAGACCAAGACTAGCATACAGTGAACAAATAAAATATAATGTCAAAATGAGAATGAACAGCTATATAGAAGTTAAGGAACTGGCTTTGGGTCGCGAGGACTGGAGGATATCCATCGTCAACCTCATCATCAGTTTGCATCAGATGAGATGGAAGTCAAAGAAACTTGAAAAACTGACCTTAAAAGTTACATCTTTTTGCCAAGTTATATTGAAATCGGTTATTGGGAAATGGACGAAATCCAATAAACCGGTATCATCCCCTAATTTGCCACCCTTACAGGCGAAATACTTTCTTCAATTTTGAATGTAACCAGTACAGAGCTGCCCCCTTTACAACAAAAAATAATCATCGAAATCGGTTCACAGATGTCGGAGTAACCACGTAACATACACACAAAAAAACTCACATCTTCTTTTTTTTTAAATCGAATAAAAAAGAAAACAAAAATTGAAAGATGTTTTTGCCATGAAATATCATGGGGAAAAATTAAAATTGTAATAGACTAAGGCCAAAAACGTATCCTCGTGATCAAAGCACGGACGCAGGATTTATAATACAACAATAGCTGCCAGTCATAAATATACTCTATAGGCATCTAAAACATATTATTAAGCATATCAAATAAGTATCTAAAACCCATATATTGAGGTGGTTATACAATAAAGTAATCACGACATAGATGTTATTGTACCATATTATGGCGCGTCACGACGACTGCCTTAAGTACATTGTACAATCTATTTTAGTTTACTGAAGGATATTTAATAGGAACCTTAATCGTAGGTGATTTGATGCTATCCTTTTTATAGATTCATGCAATGCGTTAAAGTAACGTGTCATAACAATTAAAAAGAGATAATCGACAATTGGCGAAGTATTAAAATTAAGTAATTTTAGTTTCAGGGTTGTAAACGAAAGTTGTCAGCTTTGAACATGACAAACTTCTCTTCGTTATAGTAGTAAGATACAAAAAATATAATTTTTAGAAAGAAGAAAAGAAAGAAGAAGAAAAAAATACTTGTTTTGATGGCATTTCTTACTGCACCATACCATCGTACAATTGAGAGGGGACGCGAATGTCGAAACATTTGAGAAATAAGTATTTCAAAAAACTATTGCCATCGCTATTCTAACTTAAATACTGTGCGGTAAGGACAACTGCAACTACCGCTGAATTTTGGAGTTGAAAAAGGCAAAATTTGAAACTGGGCTCTGTACGATTTCCTCTTCCAAAATTTGATACATATAAAAGATATTTCACATATAGAAGAAGTAATTGTACTTGGACTCTATGTTTTTTTAATACTTGTTACGTTATACACTAAAAATCTTCTCGTACCAACCGTGGTATGTAGTGACGTTCTATCGACAGTACCTGGGGGCTATGCAGCTCGATCCAGTGGTTAGTGTCAGTCTGTGTGAGATGGTTTGTGAGAAAAAAAATGAAAGTGACAATGGTAACGCCACAATAAATCGCGATGAAGGTAGTAGTAGTCGACAGCGCATAAGGGTAGACAGATAATATGTCTGACAGAAATATCGGGAAAATAAAAAGAAGTCATACCGTGGTAAGAAGCCTGAAATTAGTGATAATCATTTGGTGAATAATCATGAAAGTCTTAAAATTTTAAAAACAAGTTATCAAAAAAAGGAAAACAGCATGTTATAGGCGATAGTATCTTGCTGTGTGCAAAAAGCATCATCTTTTGCCACTCGATGAGCGACGGCAGATTGCTGATGTAGTTTTTCTTAATAAAATTGCTATAGGTGTTATTGACTCCCCGGAACTTGTG